AAAATGACTTTGTGTCAATAGTAAATGAAAAGAAATGCAAAGTTTTAGGAATTTGTGATGTATGTCTTAGGTTTTCTTCTGGTTCTGTGTTTACTTTGAAGGATGTTAGGCATGTTCCTGATTTACGTTATAACTAGATTTCTTGTGCATCTCTAGAAAATGATGGTTTAGAGGAAAAATAGGGTAAAGGGGTTATGAAAATTCTGAAAGGGTCTCTTGTTGTTTTTACTGCTGAAAAATAAAATAATTTGTATGTTTGTCATGCTAAACCTGTGCTTGACTCTGTTAACTCTGTGATAGGTGATAAATCTGTTTTTTGGCATAATGGATTAGGTCACATGAGTAATAAAGGATTAGAAATTTTGCATAAAGGATGTCATTTTGGTAGTAATAAAATATCCCCCATCTCTTTCTGTGAATCTTGTGTGTTAGGAAAATAACATAGGGTTAAATTTCCTACTTTTTCTTTTCCTAATCAGTCTAAGTGCATTGATATACTTGAATATTTGCATACTGATGTGTGGGGTCCCTCTAGTGTGCCTACGCATGGAGGGAACCAATATTTTCTTTCCATAATTAATGATTATTCTAGAAAAGTTTGAGTTTTACTCATGAAACAAAAATCTGAAGTTTTTGCTAAATTTAAAAACTAGAAAATTATGATTGAAAACCAAACGGGAAAGAAAATTAAAACTCTTAGGACAGACAATGGTCTTGAGTTTTGTAACAAACAATTGAATGATTTGTGTACTACTTGGGGATATTAAAAGATATAAATCTGTTCTCTACACACCCCAGCAAAATGGGGTTGCTGAAAGGATGAATAGAACTCTCTTAGAGAGGGTGAGGGCTATGTTGGCCACATCTGAGCTCTCTAAGAAGTTCTGGGGAGAAGCTATTTATACTGCGACCTATTTAATTAACATGTCCCCTTCTGTTCCCTTAGGAGGAAAATACCTTGAGCTTGTGTTCACGGGCAAACCTCTTGATTTAAATAATTTGAGAATTTTCGGAAGTACTGGCTGTGTGCATCAAAAGATTGATAAGTTAGAACCTAGATCTAAGAAATGTGTTTTCTTAGGATACCCTGAAGGGGTAAAATGTTATAGCCTTTGAAATAAGAGTGAACCAGGGTTTAAGGTAGTAATAAATAGAGATGTTGTTTTTAATGAAAATGAATTTTTTTTACCTTTACATGTCCCTATTCCTAAAAATGATGCTCCAAATAAGGTGGAGCAAATGCCTATTATTAATCAACCTAAATCACTTCCTGAAAAAAATTGAATGATATAATTATTAAAAATCAAGATGAGATTATTCCTAATGAGGTGGAGCATGATATGCAGGAAATAGATAACATGCACGATTTGAATGATTATCAACTCACTAGGGATAGAAATAAAAGAACCATTAGGCAACGTGAAAGATATAGAGATTGCAATTTGATTGATTGTAATATGTCCGAGTTTGCCTTTAATGTGTTTGAATCCCTTGAGTGCAATGAACCTAAGACTTATAGAGAAGCATTAAAATCAAAATATTCTGAAGAATGGATTAGTACTATGAAGAGTGAGATGGACTCCCTAAGAATTAACCAAACATGGAAACTTGTTACTAAACATGCTAGTTGTTCTGTAGTGGACTGTAAGTGGCTGTTTAAGGTGAAACAAGAATCTGAAAGTGTTAAGTTTCGTTAGTAGCTAAGGGATTTACTCAAAAGTAGGAAATTGATTATGCTAAAATTTTTGCTCCTGTTATCAAATTCACTACTGTTAGAATTATGATTGCTTTAGTTGGTCATTTTAATTGGGAATTAAAACAAATGGATGTAACTATTACTTTCTTGCATGGTGATCTTGATAAAAATATTTATATGCATCAATCTGAGGATTTTATGGGCCCTAAATTGCCTGATCATGTGTGTTTGTTAAAAAACCTTTGTATAGTTTAAAACAATCACTTAGGCAATGTAATATTAGATTTGATAAATGCATACAATCTTTAAGTTTAAAAGGAGTTCTGCTGATCATTGCCTGTATTATAAGAATATAGACTATGTGCCTGTATTTCTTTTAATTTTATGTGGATGACATGTTGATTGTTAGTCCTTATTTGAAGTCTATTGGGCATGTTCAAAAACGTCTTTGTGAAAATTTTGACATGAAAGACTTAGGCGATGCTAAAAGAATCCTGGGCATGAATATTATTAGGGACAAATACAAATCTACTCTACTTTTAAACCAAAGTTCATATGTTGAAATTTTTTTGAGTAAATTCGCTATGTCTGATGCCAAATCTGTGAATGTGCCTCTTACTTTCCATTTTGTGTTAAGTAAGGATCAGTCCCCCAAGACTGAAACTGAAATAAATAATATGAAGAATGTGTCATATTCGAATGTTATAGGATCGGTCATGTATCTCATGGTTAGTACTAGGTCTGACATTACATATGCAGTTAGTTGCTTGAGTAGATATATGTCAAATCCTGGTATGCCTTATTGGAATGCCTTGAAATGGCTTTTAAGATATTTAAAATCCTCTATGGATGTAGGATTAACCTTCTCTAAGTGTTCTGAAGGTGTCAAACTAATTGGCTATGCAAATGATAGAGATAATAGAAAATCTACTACCTCCTATGTGTTTACTTTGTGTGACTCTTGCATAAGTTGGGAATCTCAACTACAACCCATTGTTACTTTATCTACTACTAAATCTGAGTATGTTGCTACCACTGAAGCTTTTAAAGAAGCTATTTGGCTTAGGGGCCTTATATCTGAAATTGGTTTTCTTAATAAAAATATGATTGTATTTTCTAATAGTCAATCTGCTATTCAACTTTGCAAAAATCCTGTTTTTCATGATAGAACTAAACATATTGATGTTAGATTTCATTACATTCGGGATATAGTTAAAAAGAGTATTGTCAAGTTAGAGAAAATTCCCTCAGAATTTAATCCTGCTGACATGGGTACTAAGTTTTTGCCTGCTGAAAAATTTATCTCGTGTCAAAGAATCTTGAATTTTGACTTTGGTAATTTTTCTTTGCTTTGTGTGTTGCCTTTGTGGCCTATTAACTTGCTTTGTGCTTGTTATCAGCTTTGTGATTTTTTTCCTTTGAACTCGATGACCGTTTGGTAGAGTTCGGTCCTTTGTGGACTTGGTATGCTTGGTGATCTTAACCTGATCTTTGTGATCTGAGTTTACTTTGTGTATTCTCTTCCATTGCTTGTATCTTCTTTGTGATCATACAGGTAATGATTTGACGATGATGAGTCCTGTAGTTTCGTGTTTTTTCTCAGTGCACTATCTTGGACCAAAGGTGGAGATTGTTGATATTAGTTGGCCCAAAGGCCTGTTAATGGCCTGTTACCTAAAGGCCCAGTTCCCCTTTATATTTGCCCTAGCCCCTTCTATTCCTCTCTCCTACCCGCTGATACTCAATCCCTTTCCTATTTATGTGTTCTGATGGCCGCCGCTTGGAGTCCCATCTCCCCCATCCATGTAGGTCGGCTCCTACCATTCGAAACCCTAGCCTCTCCCGTGTTGGCTGCCCCCTTCTCTATATAAGTCGAAGGGTTGGTAGTAGCTTGGGGTGGGAAGAAAGAAGAGAGAGAGAGGAGAACTTGAGCTTTGTGCTCTATTGCTTTGTGCGATCTCTCCTCCCCTTTTGTGAGATTTTCCCGACCATCGCTTTGTGCAAATCCCCTTTCCTCTTTGTGAGTGATTAAAGGAGAAGATCTGTGGGCTCACTTTTGTGTTCTCGGTGGTGCACAACTGAGAAGGAACAGTGACTGAAGAACAGGCTTCTGAGCCAAACTGCAACGACGTCGATCTTCTCTACAAATACTTGGCATTTCACACTTACCTATGAACATACCTACAATTTGGTTCCAAGCTGATTATAATTCAGTTCAATTCCTCCCAGGATTTAAACCAGCTAGTAACCAGCCTTAAATTTGCACAATCATGGCTTACATCCAAGTAAATTTCTACCTCTTGATCTTAATGATACTCATCTTAATAATCAAGCACAAAAGCATACAACGCATGAACACACACCAAGATCACAAAATGTATTAAACATTATTTTCAAGTACACAAGAGTCAAGACTGGTACTCAATCTTAACAACCAAACACAAAAGTAATACAATACATGAACACACCAAGATCACAAAATGTATCAAACGTTATTTTCAAGTACATAAAGGCTGATACCCTCGTGAACCTAATAATCACGCCGTAAAAAAACCTCACGACCCTCAGAAGCGATTCATGAGCCCAGAGATCCACTTCGCGAACCCACCGCCCTTCTCCCTCTCCATCTTCATCCTCCTCTTCATCATCCTCCTCAATCTCTTCCTCTCCTCGTGCTCGACCTCACCCTCATCGTCGCTGTCGCTCTCATCGTGCTCCCTCTTCCTCATCTTCCTCATCTTCTTACACTTCTTCTTCGCTGGGCTCGTCAGCATATCGTGACCGTACCGGATCTCGATCGGCCTCCTGTTAATGAGGCCGAGGGGGCGGGACGCGTGGCGGGCGCTCGGGAGGCGGAAGGAGTGGGCGATCTGATCCGGATCGCTCGCGACGGC